TAAGTATGAACTTTTGTATAAATATTATCAATATTGTCATTTTAGATGTATTAATGTATTTATAGAACGATATGTATTCAATGCTGAATTTACATTACTTTTACTTAGCTTTTGCCATGCATTTCGTGTATTTGAACCACGCTTTGCTGCGGCAGAATGAGGAACAAAACTGACGCGAAAAAGACTCATATATAATTACAATCTTTAAGGCCGTTTAAATATCGTTTCAAAATTTTAGCCCAAACGGTGCAGAACTTTTTGAGATTTTAAAACCTACACGAACCAACTTAACATTTTGTGGATAGTACCTGTTTGAAAGTGTAATCGATTCAGTTGCTAATGAGTAAAAGCGTAAAAACAAACAAAAAAATTCACACTGTGTGTTATATTCTACATAAGTTAAGTTAAGGCTAAGTTGTAATTTTACGATATTTACCTTAAATCATGTTATGAAGGGTTCAAACTTCCACCATTTCTCAAACTTCTGTATCCTTTAAGTAACAGTATCGCTGAAATGTTTCACCTTGGCTTTACTTCAAAAGATTTGATGTTACTTTGAAATGTTTTCAAGTTTATATTGGGTAATAAAATATTTCGCGAATTGAATTAATTTAATTTTATCAATTTACGTCTAAATTTAAAGAGTATTTTTACATGAAAATTATTGCGAACTAATTAAGTCCAGAAGGATATCCAGGATTCAGGCACAGCCATGGTATCTACTTGCACTTGGTCGTTTTAATTATTGTACGCTAAATGCTTATTAATAGGTAGAGCGATTAACGTATCCTTAATGTTTCTTTGTTAAGTTGTTTGTATATCTCAATTCGTCTGTTAGTGCATTATTAGAACGACATTAACTTAAATGAAACTACTGGGTATATAGGTTCAAGGTAGAAAAGACCGTGACCACAATAATCCATTCTAGTGTCCTAAGTCGTAAAGTCTAATTTTAAGCCCTAATCTCGAGACTTTCAAAACACATTTTTAGTTTCAAATGGAGTTCTGGAGCCAAAAAGACAGAATGCCGCATTACGCAAACAAAGATTGTTTTCAAATCTAGGTCAAAGCGCCTATTTTACGTTGGTGGTATTATAAGGTATTCAAGCCATCCCCCATTCTCTCATCACTCCTATATGTTACCTATGATCTCGGAGAGTGGACCTACAGAACCAAGATACTTATCCCAGTATACTGCGATACGCTAAAAGTCCATCAGAATTTGGGTCGTCCGGTCCTCTGCCTCCATGTACACTCTGTGCAATTATTCACCTTGATCACAATGATCACTTTTATTAATCAGGCATGTAGTATTTGGCAATTGATACAAAAAACAATAATAAATACCAATACTGTGTAAACAACTGTTCCTAAGCGAACGCTTCAAAATCGAAAGTGAAAACGATCACATAATGAAACAAGGTCACATCTACGCACGACCTTCCAGAACCGACCCTCCGCACCACCTGGCAACTCAAATCATTTCTCACTGTCGATGTCCTCATCGTCCATCTCCTCACCCTCGCTCCGCTGACCGCCATATTAATGGTGGCACCTCCAAACCCATTCGGGAAAATAAATAGTCGTCTGACGTGTGCTCCGATGCATTATAATATATGGCGCGGTATGGATTATCTAACGTCATTTTCTTGTAAAAGCCCCAAGGATTACTATATCCTTTTGCTGTTTTTATATTTGTGAGATGGTGTTTTTGTGTTTTGAATTTTAATTTGTACCTTATAAGTATAACTCGTGCAGCTTGTATATTAGCCTAATCGAAGTCTTTGTTTTACATAAAAACCGATTGATTCAGCTAATACGAGTATGTACAGAATATTACATGAAGGAGTAGCCAAGTTTAGTGTAGTCGAATCAGTTTTAGGAGGATTGTGTAAAACCGAAATGTAAACATTTAGGTAGAAAACTTAATTTTTTTCATATAAATAAAAAACCTTTCTTGTATTGCTGTCAATATAACAGATTTTGGAAGTTCATTGACAAATATCGTCTAGGATGGAGAAACTTCATAATTGTAACCCATTTTCGCAAAAAAATAAAAGGTTTCATTTGAAAGAAAAGATATCTCACAACTAAATAACAATTATATTGTTACTCCAATTACTTTACTCATTTAATTTGTTCCTTTTTACTTTACTTTTTCCTCTTACCAGTGATGAGACTAGGATTGGAATTAAGCAGGACCGATTCTCAAGGATATTGAAGGTGATGAAGAATTATGAATTAGAATGATGAATGAGAATGACGAATGAGAATAATGAATGGGAATGACGAATGAGAAGGATTAATGAGACTGACGAATGAGAATGATGAATGAGAATGAAGAATGAGACTGGTGAATGAGAATGATGAATGAAGATGATGAATGACAATGATTAATGAGAATGGTGAATGAGAATGATGAATGGCAATGATGAATGACAATGATGAATGACAATGATGAATGACAATGATGAGTGAGGATGATTATTTCTCAAGGATAATGAAGTGAACGCCATTATTAAGTACAGATAACCTTCTTACTCAATGGAAACAAATATTATTCATGTTCAAAATCGCCAAATACCCTTATCTAACAGAGTATCAAAATAAACTTATTTTATATTATAATGACGCTGCCTAACCGCAACTTCCTCCACAATTCTATATATTATCAAACTGAGTGAAAATCAATGTTGTATTACCGTTTGTAAATAACCGATATTGTCATAATGGTCGGGTCCATTAAAATAGCCTTAGCAGCTATTTGGCACAAATATACTCAATTTGGGTCAGCGATACCACATTTCGCAAGCTCCTTTTATGGGAGCTGCGTGTCTGTCTCTCTCTAGCTAATGGTGGTAGATATCAGTTACAAAGTGTAACAAATACTTCAAGGTCTAAACAACATTTTATTGTGATAAAATATATTTTTTAAATTAATGTTTTCTTTCTTCGTGTTTGGAGGTTTCTCAATGAAGATATCTAACAAAGACTAAAAAGATAATAAGATAGGTTAGTTTCTTCTTCTGGTATTAAAAATAGTTAAATGCCATGGTTGGGAGTAGTTCGGCAATAGAAAATATAACACGAGATACCGGAATGCATAAATAACCCCTTTTTTCCTTTATTTTTGTCTTTTGCGGCAATCCCCTCGGATAGTACCACTCGTTCGGATGATTATGTCGGGCATTAATAACCCCTACATTAATACCCCTCTTTTTGTTCTTATTATTATTAGCAACTTTTCAGAAAACAGAAAAATAAATTTGTTGGACATAAAGAAATCATAAAATTATCATATTATATGGTATCTGAATGTAAATGTCCATAAACACATCATAACAGTGTATTTTATGTAGGTAGGCACACAACTGCCTTAACATATTTTCTTTTTACAGAATACTTAACTGAGAACGGTATAAATCTTCCTTTTCTTGAAGCGGATAATAAAATAAACAAATAGCGTGCACACTACGGAAATTTAGGAACCGTCCTCTACAACGACCTCCTCGAGCCAAACTTAATTCATCAAATTTCCGCGCTCCACCGGAATTGAAAAAAAAAGCGTTCTTCCGCTTAGCCGTTACTTAATTTTATTATTTTAAAAGCTGTAAACAGTCTGAGGACGTTCTATCTTGCTTAATTACAGACCAAGCTTACGCAGACTCACCCAGCTTATTCTAATTACGTAGAAAAACAAAAAAACTCAACAAAAGGGAGCGAATTTATTTTCTAATTTCTCAGTCTAGAGGGCCCTCGAATTAAAAATATAATTCAAACGTTTATCGTTGGTGTAATTTTTATCAAAGGCCGTTTTCCTATCTCTTTGTGCCGTAGTCAAGTTAAGAAAAAATAATCCGCCTCGAGCGTGTGCGGTACTAGACATATATAGGTTTGTGATATAAACGCCTTTGTACATTATAAGGTAAAGAATTATTGAGATACTAAGCTGAATTCTATTACCTGTTATACCAAGAGAATTTTGAAATCAACTGTTATAGACTAGATATATATCTAACAATGTAACTATTCTTAGTGAAGTTATTCGACTTTGAGCTAATATTAGTGTCTTGAAAAATATTAATATTCACAAATGATTGACTACTAGTGACATTATCAATTCTTATATGGTAGGGCAGCCCAAGGGGCTGCGCTACCATATAAGAATGTATCTATCATGCCAGTATTAAGGTTAACTTAGCGGAGTAGTTCCTTAATCAGTTACTAATAAGTATATTGTAAGCGGATTCTGAGCTTATTAAATGTCACAAATAAAGAGTGTTCTCGCTCGTAGTAATTAGATAGGTACTTATTAACTCAATCAATTAACTCAATTAATTTGTTAGTAAGAAACTCAACAGTTTTTTTTCCAATACACACAAATAATTTCGATGGCAATAAATTCTCGATCTAATATAAAATAATCACGACATTAATTTCCCGCGCGAAGCTAGAAAAGGAAGTGTTTTTTTGACATTAAAATTATTAATAATTAGACACACAAAATGAATATATTGTCATGAAACAGTATTTTATTTTATCTTAGGATTGAAAAAGTAACCTAATTTTATAGAAAGCATCGCAGGATTTGCTTAACACCAGTTCTATGTGTCGCTGTTATCACACACACAGGCACATATGTGCCAAAGTAGGGCTCTCCCACAGATTCATTTGCTAAATGATGATAAACTTCCTGATAAAAATTAAAATATGTGCGTCAGGTAGTAAATTTACAAAAACCAACTTGCGAACGACACCGAATATACTACGAGTATCACTGACACCGATACCTGAATATTTTCATATCAGTTTACGGTACATTGCGACACACAATACAATACAAAGGGAATTATCACGGCTAAAATCTTATATTCGGTCACTTGCACACCCCAGAACTTCACACATGAGTACACCGAATTTCATTAATACGAACAGACGCAAATCAATATCTCCTACTAATCAAAAAGGGACCAAACGAAACTTCAGAGCTATATTGAATAATGATATTAACGAGTTCCGTACTTTATAGATATGAAAGGCACAGCATTGTGGAGTGGTTTATAATGGATACTCGACAGGTAAAGTTGGACAGGCTTGGGCCAAATTTTGAGACAACTTATGACCAACTTGGGTGGTTTTTGATTCTCCTGAGACGTTAGTTGGTAATGCGGTTGACGTTTGGAGCGACATTGCGCGTTGGATAATTGAGTTAATATTGATGTCAGGTACAGCGGTGGATTTTTGTGTAATTGAGATTGAAATAAATTGGATTAATTTTGAAATAGAGCGCGTGTAAGTGTTTTTCGTTGCGAAATAAACTTTTATTGTAAAAAAAATATTTAATATCTTATTGGTAGTTAATCTTTACAGAGTTATTTATTTGTTTACTTTAGTTTTGAAAACCAACAGCTACGAAAATGAAAATGGTGAGATTGAGATACTACATCAAGCCAATTACAGGTTTTCATGACGAATCCTCATTAGTATCATAAATGTCAAAATGGATGTGTTTATTTATTTTCGATGCCTTTGACACCCAATTTTTTTTATGCACTTGGATAAATTAACGAAAAACAAAACGGGGAGCCTTTCACGCATAAAAAAAAGAACAATGATTTACTTGACAAAGACTATATTAATACAAAGTTATCAGTATATTAGACTGCAGTCACGTAGACACGATTAAGACAGAAATAACACGATTTAAAACCCTATAGAAATGTAGGGAATTATTGAACATGTTACTCATGCAAAAAACAGAAGTGTTGACGTTGAATGGTCAAAAACCTATAATGGTACGGACAGTACTATGAAATGCTGTATGATAAGTAACATAGAAGGTAATAAAGGTAGTATAGATAAGGTAATATTAGACATAGATGAAGCGACCTAAACATTAATTAGAAAATGTAAGACCCTGATCTGCTTGAGGGTCGAGCTGTTACATTCCACAATCCATCCGTATAATCAATATCCATTGCCTGCCATTGCAATTTACCCATGTAATCTTTAAATTTCCAAGTTGACGGCAATTGGCCTTCTCTAATAGAGAGAGTGACTCAAGAGGAAGATTTATATAGTACATACACTGTCGTAAAAACATGATTTTGGCGCTTACATTGCAAACGCTAACTAAACCTTACGAGACAGATTAAAATAATATACTATGGAATTGTTTATCCTAAAAAGATCTTCATTAAAGTCCTTTATAGTACTTGTCTATCTCTTAAGGACAACCCAAAGTGACAATTTTTATCTTTTTTATATATTACAAAAAATAATGAGTCATTTAAGAAGCTATATTAAACAATACGGTATTGTTCATTATCCAAATAAATACAATAGATACGTTGGGCATTTAATGTAGATCAAGGCAGGCAATCAAAGCAATTAGCTTTTAACGGCATATTGTTAAAGTAAATATCTTTGTAGATATCAGAGGTTTAAATGCGGGGGCAACGCGACCGTCGCCGCGTCCGCGTCTTGCCGTAAGTCTGTCCCGGGTGGCAGCGGCCGGCAGGAGCGGAGCTGGCCTATAGTTAAATATTGCATATAAAGATGTCCTGTAGTATAGTATTATCATAATAATAGTATTATTAATTACTCCACATTGACACCACATTAGTAGTAGTAAATATGAGTGAAAGCTACCTTCCATTCAGCAGATTCCTATCTTACTCTCTCTTATCTCTATCTTACTCATCTTTGTTTCAACAGGTTTCATGGATGAGAAAAAGGGATCTTCACATTCTAACATCACACATCTTTACATACACCGGGGACGCAAGGTTTAGTGTGCTGCACCCTGAACCTTCAGACGATTGGGACTTGAAGATTGACTACGTGCAGCCGAGAGACGCCGGTGTTTACGAGTGCCAGATTAACACCGAGCCCAAAATCAATATGGCTGTTATGCTAACCGTTGAAGGTGACTCTTTAAATTGTATTCAGATTAGTTTTTTACTTTTTTTAGATACAATAGCTTCTTACTTAGTTTTCTTTTACAAATGGTACACGTTTGGGCTTCGTATAATGCACATTATCTATATTTATGATAGTTATGATAACCCAATACTTTTTGCAATAACTTAGAGCTTATAAGTATCTGCATTATTAGGTTTAAAATAAGAAAAAAGGTAAAATATTGCGTAATATCACATTGAAGTGACTTCTTGGCGTTTGTTTTCAATTCAATATGGAACATTTTTGTTCTTGTTGTTGTGGCTGTCCTTTACTGAAATTATAGATAAAGAACTGCGTAGTAAGTACTATAGTTGATATAATCTATTTAATTATTTTTAAACACAATATAGTCAAAAACCAATTAATCAAGATGGGAATAATGATTTATTTAGCAAAAAACTTAGGTACCTCAAATTTAAATTAATTAAATTATATTTATAAACAACTTAGCAAATAATTAAGAGCTAGACTTAGTCAAAGGAAATAGAATTAAAATTTATCCAAGTACTCGTGAAACTTTAATCATTATTTTACTAATTTATTTTTATTTGACCTTTCGCTGTTCGCTTAATGAGATAGAATGAAGCAATTATTAATTTCAAATTTGTCATCATTTAAGTGACTGTAGATGACTATAGATGGCATAGGCATTGTAGATCAGGCAATAGAGCGGTTGTGGGTTGGAACCCTTCGCAGTACACAATCCTTATGGCCCCACGCCTATCATATGCCACGCCTATAATATGGAGATATTAACAAGAACGCGAGTAATATGTGACTCACTCTACCACTCGTACTCATCTTTCTGATACAAAAGTCCAGGATTATGATCTGAAATTTACCAGGTTTTATATTTAATACTACAGTAACGCAATATGTACTTAATAATATATCATGAAGCAATACTACTAAAACCATAGAGTTATTAATAATTATGAAATTTAGTTCTGTATATCATCATCATCATCATCAACAGCCTATAACAGTCCACTGCTGGACATAGGCCTCTCCTTAGAAAGGAGGTTCTGTATATATCTATTATAAATAAAGAGAGGCCGTGAGTTTATTTGCTTTTTCTTCTCATAAGGCTCAACCCCTTGGAAATGGATGATTTTAGACCGGCACTGGCATATAATGCATTGAATTCATTTAACTAAATATTTGACAAAACAGATTGTTGCTATTGTATGTGTGTGTGTGTGTGTATCTATGACTTTAGAGTCTACATAAAGGACGATTTCAAATTTATTTTTTTATTTTATATAAAAATATATTTTGACTTTGACACATTTACAAAATAATTTACTTATAAAACTGTCAATCGTCATGCCTATATAAACTTAATGTCTGTATAACATTTCTATTACAGTTAACAACAAATAAATAAAATAAATAAAAGATATTAACAAAATATTCGTTATGAAGTAAGCAGAAACTGACTATTTTGTATGGTACAAATTATTATTTTTGACACACAACGCCATCTAGTTTTAAACTAAGCAGAGCTTGTACTATGGGTACTAGACAACTAATATATATACATACATACTCATTTTGTAAATACATACATATTATACATAGAAACACCCAGACCAAATCAAACATTAAATCAAGCTCAAGTCAAACATTTGTGTGCATGAAGCACACAAATGTTTGACTTGAGCGGGAATCGAACCCGCTACCTTTGGAATAGCAGTCCGTTCCGCCATCCAGTCGCCTATCTTACTTTGATATACTTTGGTATTTTAAGACATCGATAAAGGAAACATTTAAATATAGACTCCACAAGAGGTAGTCAAAGAGCCATTTAGTTCATTTCAGTTTTTAATTAAAATACAGTGTTTAAAAACATTGGCTTACTGCTATAGTTAAGACAAAAACCTGCAAGGCGTTGTAATAACTGCGCTGTCAATGCAAGAATTCAATTCAGGGTATTTTACCTGGCCTGTGGGTGGTGGGTGAGATAGGTAGGCATCTGTCACCCTAGCAGAAGTAGGTCAGGGTGGTGCACAAAGGAGACATAGGGGTTCCCACACTGGAGGGGTCATCTACACACCGTAGATGGCCCAAGGTAGGTTTTTGGTCAGTTCGACTCCGACATAACCATCCCACCGGTGAGTGGTATCGGAGGGGATTGCCGCACAGAAAAAAAGTATTTCACCTTTAACTTCAATAGGAATATAGGACACAACATACTTTTTAACTCGTATCGGAGCAAGGATACCTGTGAAACGCCACTATGATACCTTTAAACGGTGGACTTATAAAAATGACCTATGAAGGAACTGAATACTTTTTAATTAAATAAAAGCACGCACACGTGGTCGTATACTCAAACGAAAACACATACACACACACGCACATATGCATGTATCTCACGCACTAATAAAGTCAATCGACATACCAACAGGGGTCCGGCACTGGGGGGTTCGTCTACTCGTCTGTAGATGACCCGAGGTATGTCGGGGTACCAGGGACTTCCTTTCTAGGGTATACCTGGTTCCCCGGCTATTAGTACCCGAGACGGCGTGCGGTTTTAGTCGGTTCGAGTCCGACATGCCACCGACAGGTGGTATCCGAGGGGATTTCCGCACGGAAAAAAAAAAGGGGTCCGGCACTGTAACTCTGCTGCTTAGTAGCCTATCTACATAGGAGTGCAGTACTCAACCCAAGTTTTAGATAGCATTGTGAAAATTGACATCCATTGGACTGAATACATGTATACGTATTTTTTGTTTTATAAAGTATTAATTATTACTTGCTTACCTAAGACTTCCGAGTCTCTGATATTTATGTACATTTCATATGATATAGTTCAAAATAATCTTGTATAAATAATAAATGGAACCAAGAAATCTCACAGAAATATCTTACGAAGTTATATAAGTTGAGAGGTGATCAAATTACAAAAAAAGTAATCATATCTGGCGTAAATACGTAAATAAAATCGGCCAAAATAATATGAAACCGAAAATCGAAGGTCTCCAGATGAAATTACACGTACTCGTACCAATATAGCTGGTTCCTTGAACGCGTTTTGTTAAATAGTTTTTAGGAACAAGTTGTGTAATTCTGATACTATTATTTTTCTTGCATTTATAAGTTTAATTATTTTTACAATATTCGTCGCTCACATTGGTTTTTTTTGAGATATGCTTACACGTAGGGATTTATTGCGAGAGGCCCAGTTTATGTTTTGCGTCCGAAGGGATTTTCCAATCACAGTACGGAGATCCGGCGTTTCCAATTCGAGACTTGCGGTATATCTTACTGTGGTCCCTCTTGTCCTCTCCGTTTATGTTCTTCTTCTTTCCTAAGTTCTATTCTTCTTTATATCCTCAAGAAGGGTAGATATCAGGCTACCAGCTACCACAAATGAAATAAAGAAAGCCAGACTTTTTTTAACAATTTGTGTTCTCTTTGAAATGATGTGTATATATGTACGATTTTTGGAACAAAAAGTGAAAATGACGATCAGTATTTTGATGATTATTATGAAATCCTTATTATGAGTGAATTACTATCATAATAATATAAAGGAATATATGAATCAAGTTTTAATACACACTAGTTTGAACTAACTATTAAACAGCTTGACGTAAATCACACACATTATAACGCAGTAAAAATACTTAGTCCAAATTCCTGGTGAGATACTGGTAACGAAAGCTCTATCCTGTCAATGGATGACACTGCAGTTCCTCCATAGTCATTTATACATCACATCAGCGGCTAATCCTTGCTTATCTCCAAAACGCGTGACGAAGTAAGGCTCGAAGGACCAAATACCGACAAATATAAGTTGTACAAATATTACTATTTACAAAGGTTAATATACAGAGTTGCTCGTACACTGTTAGAAAATTTAAGAAAAGTTTATCTTGAGATGTAGAGGAGACGTTTAAATTTCTAGGTATAAAGGGCATTGACTGAGTCTATAGTGTGTACGTTTCTTAACCCAACATTTGTCTCTGTAATATTAGTAGCGGGAGTAACGAGCGGCACAAAGTGGAGCTTGTCTGTCTGTGTCAGGTGTGGCAGGTTTAATGTATATTTTTAATGTTTCTTTTAATCTTCAACTGCTTAACGTTGAAAAATACAAGTAATATTTTAGGGACACGGAAGCTGATTCATGTGCATTATTTGTTTCACACAGTAAAAAGAACACAGTGGTGGTGTGAAACCACCACTGTGTGCTTTTTAATAAACTTTTTGCCTCATGCAAACAATTTGTGGGACAAATTGTCGCTTAAAATATTTCCCGACCGATACGACCTCCAGACCTTCAAGAAAAGTTCCCGCCGTACTCCCATCTCAAAGGCAGGCATTTGTGACAAATTGTTTTTAAAAAAACACTTTGCGCGTTTTAAAAAAAAAATATCAAGTTCGTGGTGAACTTCATTAATAATATTAATAATGCTCGTCTCTCTTTCTCGTTAGTTAGTCATGGCTACTGGCACGGCCAACAGAGGCTGACTTCTGAGTTATGGGCGGGCGTTCATGACTCGTGTTGTGACTCGTCTGTTCTGCCCCACCTTAGACTTATATTTTTTTATGGATATTGCGAAACTACAAGGGTTCTTGATTGGATAGGTTTCTAATAAAATCAGTTCTGAAAATGAGTGAACATTTCTATAAAAGACATATGGTTATAGATGCATCTAATCCGTAAAAGAACTTTAGGACCTATCAATTCAACAATTCCTTACAAGTGCTTATATATTATATTATGTTAAACAGTCACAGCTACATATAAAATGACAGTATCTACATTTCTATTTTCTACACAGAAAAACTTTTTTAATTCATTTCATTTATTCTTCAATTTTTTTATAAATGTACCTACCTTGAAATGTGTACTTATGTATATCTCAAATATTTCTAAATTCTGCGTTATTTGCAACCCTAATATAGTGATATTAGGATTGCAAATAACACAGAATTTAATGGTAAAGGTAAAGGTAA